TGATGTTTTCGACCAACTTTGAAAATTTCGTGGCAATTATCTTGTCAGATTATTTCCTATCCCTGCTTTCCCTCCTCTCCTTCTTGGACTCTAACAAGTATGTTAGACAACTTGGTATTGTCCCACAGATCTTGGATGTTGATTTTTATTGATCTGCCTTCAAATTTATTGATACTTTCTTCTCCTATGTTCAGTCTATTAAGCCCATCAAATGAACTCTTCATTTCTGATATATTTTTCATTTCTAGCATTTCCGTTGGTTCTTTTTATCATTTATATCCTTCTGGTGAAATTTTCTATCCATTCATCTATGTTATTCAACATACTCTGGGCTATCACTGAGACTGTTTCTAGTGTCTCTTTCTTCTCCTGACCAAGGGTCACATTTTCTTGTTTCTTTGAATGTCTCATAATTTATTTCATGCCAGATAGTGTGTGTAAAAGAAGAGCAAATTTACCTCCCTAAAGGGAAGCTCCTTCTTGAATTAAGTTGCTGGGAGACTGCAGGTGGTGGCTGAATACTTTTAACCTACAGTTGGGCTGGGTTTGAGATTTGTAGCAGCATTAGTTAGATTCAGTTCATAACTGACTTATAATAATTTTAAGATGAAATCAGAACTTTACCTTTGGGAGAAGTTGGAATCAGAACACTGTTGAAACTTCATAGATTTATTTGAGTTTTACAACCTAACTATTGGCTTTCTGAACTGTGAGGCATCTAATACCCCTTTCTCCTTCCCCCCTCACATTCTTGCTGCCAGCTGTGGAGTTGTCTTTGCTCTCCAGTAGCACCCTCTGCTTTCTGGGCCTTGGGGAGATCTCTCTCTGCTGTTAGTTACCCTGACTCTACCTTCTCAAAAGCTATTGCTTTGTCCACAGTAAAAATCTGGGTAGCTAGAAAGGGATTTTTCTCAGTTCTCCTACCATGCCCCCAGCTTGTGGCAGCCCCAGCCTTACACTTGGTAAACACCCCAAGTGCAGAGGGATTTCTAGTAATTTTTTTTTTTTTTTTTTTTAAGAGATGGGGTCTTGCTCTTGCTCATGCTGGCCTTGCACCCCTGACCTCAAGCAATCCTCCCACCTCAATCTCCCCAGTAGCTGGGACTACAGGCATGTGCCACCACACCTGGCTAATCTTTTTTTATTTTTTGTAGGGATGGGGTCTTGCTATGTTGCCCAGGCTGGCCTCAAACACCTGGCTTCAAGTGATCCTCCTGCCTTGGCCTCCGAAAGCAGTGGGATTACAGGCATGAGTCACCTCACCCAGCCAAAATCTGTTTTTTTGTTTTGTGGAATATCAGTAATATGAGAAACAGAGTTAGAGAAATGCCACTCAAAGATTACCATGTACACATTTATTAATTATTTGTAAAGAATATAACAACATCCAAAACTAAAATAAGATTTCTTTTGATGATTGTAGAATACTAAAGAAAAGTGCAGTGTCTCGGGGTCAATAAATGTTGGTTGATAACTTTACTTGGTAAAATGACAACCAAAATAACATTTACTGTATATTCAGTGATACCAGAAATAAAAGACAAAAAGCTTGCTTTATAGTATTCACTGTCACTTACACCTTTAATAAAATAGATAAAAACATATCAATATTTGGGTCTGATGGCACTTTAAGTGCTCACTAAGAACATATGATAACTGTACTTTTTTTTTGCACTTATTTTAAAACCCATTTGTCAGAAAACATCTAAAACTTTATGACTTCAAGAACTCACAACCTTAACAATAATCTCTCCTCATATTATTGACTTCATTATCATTATCTACTGAAACGAAAATGGCACCTACTGAAGATTATTACAATACTTACCACATTACAAAAAGAATCCAGATCAATGCTATGTACATACTTAGTACATTCTGGATTAGACCAAGTAAAATTTAACAACAAGCTGAACAGCATTCTATAAAACAAAAACAAAAAGTCAGTTAGGCTAATTCTGTCTATTTTTCTATACTATGAACTCACAGTGAGAAAGAAGATAGTCTTGGAACTTGATGACTAAATTAAATCTGAACTCTTTATCTGACATTTATCCACACTTACCTTAAGAGAAGTTCTTTGGGTAACTTTTTGTTAATAAGGCCTTCATCATTGTTTGAGAAAACCTGGAAAGAAAAAAAAAGAAAAGTTGGGAAACTGTTCTTTAACGAATGTGAAAAAAAAACGTATGTGTTTCTTATACTAGATCAGAACAGCACTAATATTCCTACTGATATGATGATACTAATTTCATGAAGCCATCATGCTCCAATATCAAGGTATATCAAATATTTTATACCCCATCACTACTTCATAAAAATGGCAATACACAGCCATTTGTATACTACATTGTATTGGAGGGTCCAGCCAAAGCAATTAGACAAGAAAAAGCTATAAAAGGCACCTACATTGGAAAGGAGGAGGTAAAACAATCTCTATTTCCAGATAACATGATCTTGTATATAGGAAATTCTAAAAATCCACAAAAAAATCAATTAGAATTAATCACGGAGTTCAGCAAAGATAAAGGATACAATATACAAATATATAATACAGCTATATAAAAATAAATTGTATTTCCATATCCTATCAATGAACAACTTGAAAATGAATTTAAGAAAACAATCCAATTTATAACAGCATCAAAATGAATAAAATACTTAGGAATAAATTTAACAAAAGAAGTATAAGACTTCCATCTTAAAAACTTATATAAAACACTGTTGAGAGAAATTAAAGATTTAAATAAACTGAAAGACAATCATGCTCATGAACTGGAAGACTTAACAGTGTTACGTTAGCAACACTTCCTAAACTGATCCATAGATTCAATGCAAAATCCCAGCTGCCTTTTTCTTTTTTTTTTTTTTGAGATACAGTCTCATTCTATAGCCCCAGGTAGAGTGTGATGGCATCATCATAGCATACTGCAACCTCAAACTCCTGGGCTCAAGTGATCCCCCTGCCTTAGTCTTATGAGTAGCTAGGACTACAGGCACATGCCACCACGCCTGGCTAATTTTTCTATTTTTAGTAGAGACAGTGTCTCACTCTTGCTAAAGCTGGTCTTGAACTCCTGACCTCAAGTGATCCTCCCACCTCGACCTCCCAGTGTGCTAGGATTACAGGCGTAAGCCACTGACTGCATCCAACCTCCCAGTTGCCTTTTTACAGAAATAAGCTGATCCTAAAATTCATATGAAAATGTAAGGGACCCAGAAAAACTAAAATAATCTTGAAAAAGAAAAATTTAACACAAAGGAATACATTTAACACAAAGAAAAATTTAACAATTCAATGAAAAGACAACCGAGTTTAAAAATGGGCAAAGAATTTGAATAGACATTTCTACAAAGAAGATATGCAAATGGCCAATGTACACATGAAAAGATGTACAACACCAATCATCATTAGGGAAGTGTAAGTCAAAACCACAGTGAGATACTTCATGCCCACAAGGATTGCAAAATAAAAAAGACAGATATAATTAATGGTGAGCATGTGGAGAAATGGGAACTCTCATACACTGCTGGGGAGAATGTAAAATAGTATAGCTGCTTTCTCAAAGGTTAAACAGAATTACCATATGACCCAGCAATTCTTCTTGTAAGTCAATACTCAAAGAGAAATGAAAACATATGTCCATACAAAAACTTGTATAGCAGCATTATTCATAATATCCAAATAGTGGAAACAATTCTAAACAAATTGTTTTGAATTGTCTATCAGTTGATGAATGGATAAACAAAATGTGGTATAGCCATAGAATGGAATACTCTTCAGCAAGAAAAAAAGGAATGAAGTACTGATACATATTACAAGAATGTGCCTTGAATACATTATACTACTGAAAGATGACAGACACAATAGGCCACATATTATATGTTTCCACTTACATTAAATATCCAGAAAAGGCAAATCCATGAAGATAGAAAACAGAATAGCAGTTGCCCAGGGATAGGGAGTGACTGCTAATAGATATGAGGTCTCTCTTGAAGCTATGAAAATGGTCTTGAACTAGATGGTTGTAATGGTCACACAACTTGGCAAACATAATAAATCCCACTGAACTGTACATTTTAAGTGAGTGAAATTGATAGTATACAACTAATTTCATTTTAAAAACATATTTTAAAAAAACATACCACAATCCACCAAAGCAAACCAAAAGTGTAAACAGTGCCATAAATAGTACCCAACATTTATTTTCAAAGTAGTGTCAATAATGAGTCTTAATTATTGATATGATTTTAGTCTACTATCTTTATATTTACTTTCTATTTGCCCATCTGTTCTTTGTTCCTCTATCCTGCTCTTCTGACTTCTTTTTGGTAAAACAATATTTATTCTATTTCCTTTATTGACCTTATAGCTATACCTCTATTTTTTTTGAATGTTTGCTCTAGTGATTAGAGTACATCTTTATCAAGTCTAACTTCATTTAACTTTCTCCTGCCTGTTGTGCACTTATTGTCATATAGCTTACTTGTACTTCCTACTTATACTACATACCCAATACATTATTTCTGCTTTAAATAATCAACAATTTTTTGAATAAATGTACAAAAGGAAGATATTTTAAAAGGTCCTGGTGCAATTCATTCCTATTTTCAGATCTGAGCTTCCTTTATTATTACTTCTCTTTAGCATAAAGAACATTTATTGTGATATAGGTCTGATGTAGACAAACTGTTTTT